AGCTTCATCTGTCCTTGTGTACGGGGTGTTGTGTAAAAAAAAAAAACACCTGCAGGTGAAATGCAGTTCCCAGGAAACACTGTGCAATTTAATGGAAATGAGATGCAGGTGAATTGGATACCAGGTACTGATTATGCCGGGTGACAAAGTAACCATTTTTCTTAGTACTCCGTCTTAATCTATGTTGTTGTCCTAGACAGCAGCACGCAGTATTTAGCCATCAGCTGTTGTAAATACTGATCAAATGTCAACTGTAAAAGGTGATACTGCTACTTAGGACTAAATCCCTATGTTTTTTTATTCAGCTCTGTCTGAGCAGAACGTTGGATGGAACGAGTCTGCTGTGCTTCTGAGATCGACGGCTTTTAATGATGTCACCCTTGTAAATGGCAGAGCTGCCAAAGGGGGTGACTGATGAGTTTCAGGAGAATGTGTGTGTTCGTGGGTTTTTTCCCCTTTTGTAGTGCTTTATTCTGTGAAGGCTGGCATAGCCAGGTACATTACAGCTCAGTCTCCTAGTCTTGGACCCAAACTTAATTGTAAAAAGTTTCAGACTTTTCTATCTCCGTTTGCTACAAAATGCATTACTAAGCTAAGGGAGTTTGTAATTAACACAATTGCTTACCCACATCATAATTTGGCTGAGTGATGCATTGTTTCCTTTTTGAAGCTTCAATTGAATATGCATTATAAAAACTGCAAAAGTCGTTGCAAAGAGGAAATTGGCACTTTAGCAAAAGTTGAACTGCTTCCCAACCACCATTGTTAAGTATTGAATGGAATATTAAATAAGTACCATGTGGTCTTCGCTTCAGAATTAAAATTGTGTGATTAAAACAAGGGGAAGTCTGGTGTGAAAATTAAGTTTTTGTGTTCAACATTATACAGTGAATCCATGTGCTTTTTTTCTGTAAATAAAAATGTGACATGCACATACAACTTTGTTTTTGTTTGTGTCTTAGTTAGGATTTTGACTTGAGTAATGTAAAGACCCAAAGTCCAGTCACTACTCTTGAGAGATGCATTTTCCTTCAAGTGGGCAAAAACGATGATTTTATTGGAAACAAATATGTATGCGTGGAAGCAAATACACGTTTATTGTATTTTGTTTGTACTTACATGTGCAGTTTCATTTTTTGAGTAGCTTCACTGGAATTGTCTTTGTAACAGAATTCATACGATTTAACTTAAGTATTGCACAGTAGTTTGATTTTCACATCACAGGCTGGATAGCAACACATTTTCAGAAATGGATTATGCATTCATGGTATATATATTTTTTTTTTAAAGGAGGTTTCTTGAGATGGAGTTATGAAAGCTACAGATGTGAAACTGAACCTTGTGTGTAATTTTAACAGAAGTGGCTGTTGCATTATTCCAGGCTTCCACTAGAGTGTGCAAGATTGTCGGGAACTGAAGTTCTTTCAGTTCATTGACGAAGTTCATACAATAGCTGCCAGGACTGAGTGAGAAGCAGGTAGTATTGTATTTCGAGACATATGAAGAAAGATTGGGACACATTCAATAATCGAGCCACTGTCCATATTGTTGTGCTTTGATGCTGTGCTTTTATTTTTCTGATGTCAGTGCAAAGATGCATTTTCAGTAATGTTAAAACTTTTCTTATCTTTATGAAAAGTTGGACAAAACTGTGACTGCATGACATCAATGTTGGCTGAAGTTCGGAGAGCAGCTCATTGATTATGCAACTCAATGGATAATAACTTGGCACTCTTATTAAATGTCATAATTGTTTTCATATGATCAAGTACATTGTAACATTTTCGTGTATCTTTTTTTCTTATCCGTGTTCTGCAGCATTAAAATTAGGTAGCTAGAAACGTAAGAAATATCACTGTAGTTATCACTTTTTTTCGAGGTCTCAAAAAGTTAGTGCAATTTAACGCGTATCATCACTTTTTAACCAATCAGCCTTTCGCTACGGTAGCCCATCAGGACATACTGTCCGCTTAAGCCGCGTTGCTCCGAGGGGTTCGAACAGACTGACAATGGCGAGATAGACGGTGGGATGGAGGAGCTTCGCTTACAGCAAGGAAGGCACGGCGGACTTAGATAATGATCTATTAACAGGAAACCTCAGAAATCTTAATGATAAGAGGAGTAACATGAAACGGACGGTGTAACTACAAGCTGTAGGAGTGACGGGCCGTGTTGCTACGTATGCAGCAGCAGCAAGGGGGAAGAAGCGCTAAGAGGAGATCTCTATCATGAGAGAGAGAGATCGGAGCATTGTGGAGGTGCTGCAATTTTGCAATTAAAGGTGGCCGTAACAGACGCTGTGTGCAGCACGAATAGCGGTGGGACCGAGTTGGCGACGGTTTAGGGAATGGCAGGTCGAAGCCGCCGAATATGGTTCAGCGTTCTTCTGGGGCTGGTCGTCGGGTTCACGCTGGCTTCCAGACTGATTTTGCCGAGGGCCACGGAGTTGAAGAAAGCTGGTCAGAAGCGCAGGGCAAGCTCCGGCGGCTGCGGGTTTCGCGGGGGTCTGAGGAGAGACTACAACGGCATGCTGGTGTGGCAACCCCAAGATAAAGGATCCCAGGCGACGGTGAAGCCGGTGCCGAGATCCAGCGACTTTCTGTTCGTCGGCGTGATGACCGCGCAGAAGTATTTGGACAACCGAGCAGTAGCGGCTTACAGGTATGTGTAGCCAGGACTCTCTGCCCCTTGTGTAACTTAACTGCTCTCCCCTGCTTCGAATTCCTTAATTCTTTAATTAGTATCCCTGGGCAGAAAAGACCGTCTTCATTTGCTTACACATATTTTGCTTGGGTTTGTGTATTGATCTCAGATCAGTTGGTCACTGCAGGTGACGGCTCCGTTGCTCGTGTTATGTCACCGGGGTATGCCGTTTAACATCAATATTCACCTGTTTTGCACAACATAGACTTTGAGTGAAATGACCAGTGTTCCTGCAGGTATGTGAATCGATCACCCAACAGAAATTCAGTAAACCAGTTAACGCTACAGCTTCTTTAAAATGTTCCGTATGCAAAAAGAGCGATGTATACATATGACACAAATGACATATCTGTACGTCATTTTAATATTTCAGTGTACCTGGCTATGGCTGCCTTACTCTGAATGTAAAATGTTTTAATGATGCTTCACGTAAATTAAAAAAGCGAGGACCTTGTTGTATACAGAGAAAAAGTATACCCGTCATAACGGGGTGTCCCAGGTAAAGAAAAACAGCGCGTCTCGATGAGGATTTTAAATCGAAAAACTCTTTTAAGTATTTTTCTGCGTGAAACACTAAAGTGGATTAAAAATACATAACAGTTTTTTTTAAAAAAAGACGTTCTTCAGGCGTACTTTCCGGAAGCGTTAATTATGGTATTGGCGTGAAATTCTATACATGTAACGGCAAAATCTCTATTCCTGTTACACATCTATATTTTTGGAAGGCGGGAGCGCTGGTGCGTTTTTTTGAGGAAATTCTGCCCTTGCTGTTTCCATGAATTCGACTTCAGGAATGTAAAAACTGCACTCTCCAGATTGTCTAGTTTTCAATGGCATAAGTGAAACAGGGATAACATTGTTCAAATGCCTTCCGTGAAGGGCAGAATTTACAGCGTTAGTCAAGAATCGCACGTCTCGCAGGAACGGCTGTCTAGCCCCCTCTATTCTATACAACACAGACCTACCTGACAGCCAAAATAGACGCTTCCCGTGATTTAAGCGAAAAAAATATTAAAATGATGGTGTGTAACGCTATCATAAGGACTATTTAGGTTAAACCTTGGGCTATAAGTAAGCAGCATGTCAAGTCAGACACTTCATTTAAAATTCTCCTCTAAAATGTTTTGGGTGTGATTACGTGCCCATAATTATCACAGTTGGGTTTAATACTGAAACAGAAAAGGTTGGCAACTATAAGATATTAAGATGACTTGGCTAGCATGTGGTGTTGTAGAACAGGGCTAAGAAAAAAACAGACTTTTCCAAGTCTAGAGGTCGAAATTAAGGATTGGACTGAAAAATTTTGAACAGAACCAAGAGGCATTTCGTTTTCATGAATTCAGTCATGTGAAAGATCGTTCTAATTATTTCAAAGACAAAGAATTAGCAAGGTTGAATATTTGCAGAACCATACCAAGAACGTTTTTATTTTACAGGATTTCGATTAAATGGCCAGAGTGCTGTGCATAATGTGTTTAAGTAGTTGTCTCTTTTTCATGTTCAGTTTTATGAGAAACAAAAAAAACTGAAGATGTTACATTTCCTGTGTCACATTCAGTGATTTGACAGATAAGGAAGAATGGAGTTCTTGTTCTGTGGCCAAAACCCATTTCAAGTCATGCAGCTGGTAGATCTCTTCGCCCAACCACTCTGCTAGATCCCCAGTCTGATTTTCTTCATCCTCTGCCGTTGAAGCACCAAACTGAGCTTCCATTTTTATTGCACCCTCATTTAGGAGGTAAAGGGCACTGTGAAAAGTATGCTTCCTGAACTTAACTGACTCGCTCTTGTATATAGGAAGGACACACGCTTTCCTGGCTTCTGTTTTGGCGTATGCAAACAAGGATATGAAAATGGTATTAAGTGTCACAGCCGCTTTCCTTTTATAAGACTGACACCTTCGAGTCAGACTTCGCGTTGATTGTTTTTAGATTTCAGATTATTAAATGTTAGCCGTTGAGCACGACAAACAAGATAACCGCCGGGCCTCACCCGCGGAAAAGAGCTGGATTCTACCTGGGGTCATTGCAGTTTTAGTAAGGTCAGTGCAGACATGACAGCTGATACCTGGGAACCGTCATTAAGACGGCACTGTGTCTTTGGGTGCAGCCATGGCCCAATGTTGGAACTCTTGGAACAAAAATGAGGTCTTCCAATGAGGACCTACTGTAGCCCGATCAGGCCAGGAGGTGTGTGCTCCACACAGCCCAGTCCTATCCTGCACTTCTTGCGTTGAGGGTCACAGTATGTGAAATTGAGCCGCATGTTCCACAGCTGGCAGTAGCTTTGAGACCTGGAGGATTGTTCTGACCAGAGAAAGTGTTGGCGTTCTGTCTCCTGCTCATCCAACCAACCACAATGTCGCCCACTCCTGCGAGTATCTATTCATTTGAGTGGGACTTCCTGGTGTTTTGGTTGGCAATCATGTTACCTCATTCTGTGAAACTGTCTGAAACGTATATGACGTTTTGGGTGGTTGTGCTTTTACGATGAAAGAGTTGGCTTTCAATTTTTTCTAGGTCCTCAAACCGCTTGAGGATTATAACCAAACGCCCGATCTAATGTGCAACATTTTTACAGAGGGTTGCACGATTCATATATGCACTGTTTCTTTTCTTGTGCATTTGCATCCTGAAGGACCTGGGCTCAGACCATACCTGGCAAGGTGGAATTCTTCTCCAGCGAGGGCTCGGACACCTCCATCCCCATCCCCATCGTGCCGCTGCGGAACGTGGATGACTCGTACCCGCCCCAGAAGAAGTCCTTCATGATGCTCAAGTACATGCACGACCACTACCTCAACCAGTACGAGTGGTTCATGCGGGCCGACGACGACGTCTACATCAAGAGCGACCGGCTGGAGAGCTTCCTGCGCAGCCTCAACAGCAGCGAGGCCATCTTCCTGGGGCAGACCGGCATGGGCGCCCGAGACGAGCTGGGCAAGCTGGCCCTGGAGCCCGGCGAGAACTTCTGCATGGGCGGCCCCGGGGTGATCATGAGCCGCGAGGTGCTGCGCCGCATGGTGCCCCACATCCGGGAGTGCCTGCGGGAGATGTACACCACCCACGAGGACGTGGAGGTGGGCCGCTGTGTGCGCCGCTTCGCCGGCGTGCAGTGCGTCTGGTCCTACGAGGTAAGCGAGACGGAACGACCGACTCCTCATTGCCTTTCAGGCGGGTCGCGGGTTTCGTTCACATGGGCACGAAGTTTCTGCTGACCTGGGTCAGTGCAGCAGTGCTGGTGTTCCCAGTTCGAGATCTGGGCATCGCTGCTGGGTAAGGGCCGGGCCATTGGTAGGCCTTTCATGCGTGTTTGGCAGATCATGGTTCTGGACCTCTCTGTTGATTAGTCATGAAATTGAATGACCTTGTTTCACTAAACGCCTAAGTTGGAGGGGTTACTTGGGGGTTCGTGAAAAGGATCTTCATGTTTTCTGGAAGAAAGAAACTGATTTTATTTTGTCTAAAATGACTCACGTTTTCACCCATGTATACAGCTGGGTGATTTTAATGAAGCCGTTTGGGAGACGTACCTTGCTCAAGGGTTCGAATCCCAAGTGCATCACCTGGGGGTTCGAACTCACAACCTGCCAGGTATGAGTCCAGAACCCTAACGGCTGCCCATGATTTTATTTATACACTTTTACACTTTTATTTTTATTATACACAAATACCATTATGACAGGGCAAATAATGTGTGACAGTGTTGCGTTTGTGTTGTGGTGACATTTCGAATCTCTCGCCTTAATTTGGAGGTGAAATAAGGTATCCAGGGTTGGTAAACCTGCCTCTTTCTTGATTCTGTGGTTCTGAAGATCTCACTTAATCAAAACAGCACAAATTGAAAACTGTCACCCAGAGTAACTCTCAGCTGTTCCCGTCTGACGCTCTGGTTCAGCGAGTCCTCTGTACACTGCTGTCTTCAGGACAGCTCAACTTCAGTGGTACTTTAGTCCCTAGGAGCCATATTCATCTTGTTTTCCTTGAACCCCAAGCTCCCAGTTAACTAAATAATTCAGTTGTCTGAGTAGGATATGATTTCACAATTGCAGGCCCCTTTATGGAAGAGTGGAAAAAGTTTTAAAAGATGTTAAAGGTTCAAGGGTGTCTTAACCTTCAAAATATTTGTAGACCGGGAGGGAATCAATGTGAAGTGGCTGAGTGGAGCACTCAGTCATTTACTGGAGGACTTAACAAACCTTTGGCTCTATAAGTGATCCCATGAATTTGACAGTTAAGAAGCTAAATCGCCAGGATCCACTTTAAGTCATTCTGACACGGTAATCTGTAATGTTTTTAATGGTGCTCAGTTTATTCTAAACTCCCTAAATGTTTTCTGTTTATGTGCGTTCAGTCATTGCAGGGTTTCTGGAAAGCTGTGTGGCCAGCACTTGAGGAGAAGCTCAAATTGCCTTGTTAATTCTTAAATAAGGTTCTTTGTAGCTACAGACACTAGTTGTTCTTCTGCACACTCAAGTGATACATTAAATATTTGGAACATGTTTTGTTGGCCTTCTGCTCCAAAGGCAGAAACAACAACAAAAAATAAATCTCGGTTAAAGGGCTTACTCTGAAACAAAATCTTAATCCTACCTCTGATCAATGTGTTACATGAACAAGCAGAATACACACTAAATGTACTGGGCTGTAGGAAGAGGAATGTTTATCTGGAAGGATATTTTCCCTTATGTACATGTAGTCTGCTTCAGCTTTCTCATTCTAGTCTGTTGTTTTCTAAAGTTAACTCTGCAGAAGGCCATATTGGTAGTGCTGTAGCGAAGTGCACTTTTGGACACTATGAATTGCTGCTTTTCTTTCCCACAAAATGGGGACAGTTTTTTGTAATGGTCTTGGCTTTTACAGTTTGTTTTGTATGGCATGAACAACATCATGTCATCATCGCAAGCACAATGAACTAGGGCAGTGCTGCCTGAAATGTGACTTGGGCATGTGCTGTTTTCCTCTGTAAAGAATGCTCTGATAATAGGGGGAACGCATTTGTAGTTTTCCATTGTCAGGTTGTGAGGTAATGAACACGTTAGATTTGGCTGTATAAACCCACCTTACATACCCCTGAGCAAGCTGTTCATTATCCATTAAAGAAGCGAGTAACTGCACAGGTTCTTCTGGATTTTGAGCAAAGTGGGTTTCTGACTGAGGGAGTGAAGAGTCCCTTGAGACTTACATGAGTTCGTGTGTTGAGAGGAGCCCACGGTGTTAGCACTTAGGTGCATTAGTTTTTCGGTTGATTTCTCACATGTGAGCTTACATTTTTATGACTAATATGTAAACTTCAAGTTAAAGGGTAACAGCTTATTTTAAATCTAAGCAAATGTTCCTTGGCCAGATAGTGGCTAAAGCTGATTAGTAATCTAGACAAAGCTAAACCAGCCATCAGCTTTGTGGTTCACCAGTAACTCGGGTCATCAACTCGTGAAGTCTTACAGACAATGGAAGGGACCCCTCTGCAATCAGACAGCCCTGTGTTTTGAGACTTGGGGACAAAAAATGTAACCATGAATTAACTGGAGACACGTATTTAGATTTGCGTATTTAGATGTGATCCACACAGTGCAGAGACGCAAAACGTGCATTTTTAACTGCTTTTATGTTTCTGGAAAGACTGGTTAGATGGAGAAATGGATCGATGACGACTATCAAAGCCAGCTCCCCGATCATGTTTGGCAGGTAGCGTTAGGAAGAGGAGGTATTTTTGGTCTTTATTACAGGCTGTGGTTTAGATCTCTGCCTTGTAATGGGAGCCGAGGAGAGCTTTGAACTGCATTCATCGAGTTTTAATTACATCAGAAAAGCTTGTTTATTGCTGTCTGCAAAACACAAACAACCTGAAATCTGATTCTTGTTTCTTTTCGGGTCGCGCATGCTTTGATCCCAGAGCGTGCAGCTCGACTGTTTGGGTTTTCCCTTCTGTGTTGTGTTTAACGTTTCCAGTGAAATGATAGCAGGGCGGCACACCCCAAAGCCGCCTGGAAAGAAAAGGGCTAGCCTAATTTTAGTTGCCTCGAAATCAAATAAAACATGTGAGTGAAAGGAGTATAAATGAAAGAGCTGGGCAGAACTGTCTGAAATTAGCTGATGAGGAATGCTGAATATCGAAATGCGGGCCAGATGTTTAGGATTATGGTGAAGTGGGGGCTCTGTGCAGCACGATGTGTTTAAAATTACTCAACACCAAGCTGGTAGTTAGTGCGAATAGATGACATGAGGGAGACATAAAGCCCAGTACTTAAATCTGTTTGCATATATGAAAGGACAACGTGTTTAACCTTGAAATCCCAGTGATGAATAGCTTCCTTATGAATTCTTGGGCTGTAAATTTGTGACAAAGCCTTCAGAGGCCAGAGCGAAGGGGTGCAATTACTGCCTGCAGACTAGACTCACTGAGGGCACTAAATGACACCAGGGCCGTCCCGTTTTTTTTTCTCGTGAGGTCATGAACACTTCTGTCCCGGCTCACGGGAGTAAAGAACCGATCTCTTGTGGAAACAATTGAGGAATTGTTGCATCGTCTGAGGGGTCTTCTGTCTGAGAGTCCTATTCCTGAGGAAAGAATTTTCAAAAAAGTTTACATGGGTTTTTTAAACCGTCTATTGAGGTGCCAAGAAGGGTGACTTCCTATTGGATATCAAAGTCAGTTTTTATATTAGGGGAGCTGCCTGTCACACAGAATCAAAGAACTGTTAGAAGTGTTACATTGAGCTTCAGTATATACAGTCTACTGTTGGCAGTGACTGTACTACCTGTATAGCTCCTTCTTTCAACAAGCATCTCTTCATGAATGGTTATGTTGAAGTAATAATACATATATTTCTTCTTGTTATGTCCTTGTATACATTTATAGATGTGTGATTTAAAAATTGAACTGTAAGCAGTTAGTCTTTGGATATCCCCAATATCAATTTTTCCTTTTGTAAATTGAGTTTTCAACACCTCTACCTTCGCCAGGCTCCAGCTGACGCAGACATTTGCCGTAGAAACCATGACAACCTCAGAGAGGTTCACTGTAGAAGTGCCAGATAAAGAAATTGCTGTCATGTTTGGACCAATTCTCTCCCATTAAATACATGTGAAAACACAAGAAGTACCTAGCTGAAACTTTTAGTCAGCTGCAATAAGAAACGGAAAGGATATTTTCGTGTCTCTCGTGTAAGAGTAGCGATCTGCTGTCACGGAGATGGGCTTTAAAACCGTCTCCTGGGCGACTCAGTGCAACACTGACCATCCTTCAAAGATAGCTTTCGAGTGTTTCGAGTGTTGATTCAAGGAGAAAGACAATGTGGTCCTCTCAAGAAGTGGCAGCCATCTTTTCCATGTAGTGCACAAAGCTCTGCAAACTGCTGCACCTACAGCCCCTGAATATCTTACTAGACCTGTTTTGAAATCAAAGGTCACATGCTTGAGCGTAGCCAAGGGCAAGAACATTTGTCAGTCACAACCCTAACAAAGCAAGTCGAACCTGCTTTGTGCCGTATGAGTTTGCTACTGAAGTTGGGAATTTTCTCAAAAATGCTCTTCTCACTTCCAGTATATTCCAAGGGCCAGATGCTGGAGCTGCAAGCCCTAGTTTAGATTTGTGTTTCTACACTGGGATTCCTTCTTTTGAGCAGTGCTGACATCCATCTACAGTGTGCTGCCATGACTTTGAAATGCAAACAGTTCCTGGTTTATCAGTTTACCTTGCTGTAATAATTCACGTGAGCTTGGATTCTACTAAATGGGAAAAAGTCCCTTGGTCTTTGTGATATTGTTATTCTTTGAATGATATTGTATGGTAGTGATGGGGGTGGGTATCATTTATCCTTTTCACAGCTTTTGTGCTACCAGGTGTCAGTGATAAAATCAATAAATTATTACCTCTGCAGTTTCTGCTACAACACATCTCATGTGTGTCATGAAGAAATGCTCTATTTTCTTGGGTTTTGTGTGTTAAAGTTCACTTCCTGAATGGTGATTTTGCATCATGATCATCCATGGGTTTTGGATTCCATTTTCTTATCAAATCATCTTAATGTGTTTTGGAACAAAAGCTGAATTTCCCTTGTGCTGCCCTGCTTAATACAGAAAGTGGGTGGAGGATTTATCCCTTCTGCATTTTGGCATTCTGAAACGATAG